AGGATACAGTTTGCATTAAGGATGAAGAGAAGCAGTAATGTTCAAGCAGTACTGTTTCAGTGGTGATTAATTAAAAATGCATTAAGAGATCACATAATATAAATAGCATGTAAATATTTGTATGGAATTAACTTTTCCAGTGATGTATTTGGAAAAGTACACACCCTCAACTAATGGAGTATCATTTTATAATTTAAATTTGCTGATTTTCTTTTTGGAGTTAAGGGCAGGAAGAAGAGGGGAAAAGTATCTAACACCTTGTTTTTATGTTGTATGGGGTATAGACAGCATTTCACAGTAAAGTGCTTTCTGAAACTGACATCTTTACCACTGCAAGAAATCATTCTAGAATTTAGAAATCATCATGTTTTGTATATATACTAATGGCTCTTTCAGTAATTATGAAAGCTTTCTATGCTGGAAACTGGAGAGGTTTTCTGAAACTTACATGAAAGTACCTAGACTTAGAGAAGTTTCAGAGGCAAAAGCTGTAAATATAAACATATGGTAAGATTATTTCACATAAGTGCAATGTCTCTTGTAATATGTAAAATTCAATTAAAACAATTTATATTAAAAAAGGAAATGTATATTGTCTTGCAAAAAATCCTAGGGCAAAATATGACTCTGTTGGTGCTTTCAGGTGGTAGATTATGAGGGGAGGGGAATTAATCATGGAAGTACTAACAGAAAATGGTTTTACTTTCAATAAAACTCTGGAGAACATGCTTGTCCATCTTATATGAAATGTTTCAGTGCAGTATTACTACTCTTTAGGACTTTCCCCATGTTGTTCTTCACAAAAACAAATAAGCAGCTTTGATTTATTAAAAAACTTCCCCACTATTGTGTGTGCATGGTACATCTATTTTGTAAATTGAGTTGCTTGTGAAATAATCTAATGAAGATTTCCTGGTGCCACTTCAGAGTGGCTACTGCATTGCAAAGTACCCCCCTCTTGTTTATTCATGTCATGTGAATACAAAAACAAAAAACACTCGAGTGGTTGTGAGTAGTTTGTCAGAGTGGAGAAAAATCAATGACTAACATAGGTTGTCAATTTCAAAATTTAATTTTAAACAGGTTTATTTTTAAAAAGGAAAAGTATTTAAGATCTGATTTAAATTGGATATTTTTAAAGTGTAAACTTCCTGTAATTAACCATTTAAATAAAAATATGCAGAATCACTGAGCCCTCCTCAGATCTTGATGCATGAAAGGATGCTGCTTTTATTTATTTAAATATATAAATATATAAATATACATGTCCAGGAAAAACCGGATGTATGGTAACCCTAGGTTTAGTTCATTCAAAGTTGAAAAAGTAGAAATGCTTGTTTTCCTTTTCCAGTCTATGAATGAAAACAATGTTGGAGAGGATAAGACTTTTCAAGATTTAAGGACATGGGATGGGGCCAGATTTTCAACCTAATTCCCATTGGTTTAAATAGGAGTTAGGTGCTTGGGCCCTTTTAAAATCCCACAAGGTGCCTATCTGCATCCTTTAGGAACCTAAATAACTTTGAAAACTTGGCTCACAGTAACCAGAAACAGTCTGTCAATTCACTAGCTACAGTTAATGCTGCCTTTGCATTTAAAGCTGTGGTGGTGTGTGTTGGTTTTTTTTTTTTTAACTAAAACATGTTTGGATACACTTTCTTCTCTCATGTATCCAGCAGAAAGGTAGTTTTTATTTAACTAATACCAATGTGTTTGTACATTTTTAATTGAGTTGTTTCCCTCCAATTACAGCTTGGCATAAAATCTAGAGTAAAATAAAGCTAGTAAATAATCATTCACTATTTTCTAACAGTGTAAAAGTTAAGAATCTGAATAAATGTGTATGAATATAGAGCAGTCTCCAAATCTAATCTGAAAGCTATATAATGTTGATTTGCAACTAATTTCAGTGGTAATGAACCTTTCTTCAGAAAATCTAATTGAAGTACAAATGCAAAACATGATTAAAATAAATTTGAATAACAATTTCCTGCTCCCTGACTTAAATCATGATAAAATTTGGTGTTTTAAAATGAGTGTTGGAACAACTTGTATAGTGGGGGGGCTGAGAGCCATTGAACCAAACTGTAAACCCTGTATGTGATGGAAATCGCTTCAAGCCAGGGGGTGTGCGGCAGCACCGCTAGTTCTAGCACCTATGTTTTAAAATGCTAATAGGAATCTGTCCTCTCTGGTTTGTTTAAATGATCTGTCCCCCATCCCTACAGCTGCACAGAACACAAGCAAGTGGTTTTAATAACCTAAATCTAACATTTTGCTCTTGCAAAAGGCTAATCCAAACAGTGGCTAATAAGGATTGCCAATTAACAGGCTGTACAGAGATGCTTAACAAGAAATCTGATTACTATACTATAGTCCAAAAATAAGTACTGTAATTTCTCATGTTTTAGAGTTGTTGCATTACATGTAAACTAAACATTTATCTTTTAAAAAAAATTGCTGAGCTTTACCACTTTCTCTACAGTGTCAGTGATTAGTTTTAACTAATAGAAAAAATAGCTATGCTGCAGTGAAACTAAAAAAAAAAAAAAAAAAACACCACCTAACTTGCATATAAATCACAAAATGCTAGTGGCTCACTCAAAGCCAAAGTAGGGTGTATAACATTTTGCATGAATTGTGACCATCTCAGTATCTTATGGGACATAGAATCATAGGACTGGAAGGGACCTCGAGAGGTCATCTAGTCCAGTCCTCTGCACTCAGGGCAGGACTAAGTATTATCTCGACCATTCCTGACAGGTGTTTGTCTAACCTGCTCTTAAAAATCTCCAATGATGGAGATTCTACAACCTCTCTAGGCAATTTATTCTAGTGCTTAACTACCCTGACAGGAAGTTTTTCCTAATGTCCAGCCTAAACCTCTTTTGCTGCAGTTTAAGCCCATTGCTTCTTATAGCCTCATAGGTTAAAGAGAACAATTCTCTCTCCTCCTTGTAACAACCTTTTATGTGCTTGAAAACTGTTTTCATGTGTCCTCTCAGTCTTCTCTTTTCCAGACTAAACAAACACAATTTTTTCAAGCTTCCCTCATAGGTCATGTTTTCTAGACCTTTAATCATTTTTGTTGCTCTTCTCTGGACTTTCTCCAATTTGTTCACATCTTTCCTGAAATATGGTGCCCAGAACTGGACACAATACTCCAGTTGAGGCCTAATCAGCAGAGTAGAGCGGAAGACTTATTTCTTGTGTCTTGCTTACAACACTCCTCCTAATACATCCCAGAATGTTTGCTTTTTTTTCAACAGTGTTACATCGTTGACTTGAATTAAGCTTGTGGTCCACTATGACCCCCAGATTCCTTTCCACAGTACTCCTTCCTGGGCAGTCATTTCCCATGTTGTATATGTGCAACTGCTTGTTCCTAAGTGGATTACTTTACCTTTGTCCTTATTGAATTTTCAACCTATTTACTTCAGACTGTTTCTCCAGTCTATCCAGGTCATTTTGAATTTTAATCCTATCCTTCAAAGCACTTACAACCCCTCCCAGCTTAGTATCAGCTGTAAACTTTAAAAGTGTACTCTCTATACCATTATCTAAATCATTGATGAAGATAGTGAACTGAACCAGACCCAAAACTGATCCCACTCATTATGCTTTCCAGCATGACTGAACTACTACTGATAACTACTCTCTGGGAATGGCCAAGATATACTATGTCTAACCTTTCCTCCTATCCACAAAGGCTTGTTACCCTGTCAAAGAAAGCTATCAGGTTGGTTTGACATGATTTGTTTTTGACAAATCCATGCTGAGGGTTACTTATCACCTTATTCTCTTCTGTGTTATTTGTTTATATTCATGCTTTGTAATTTGACTCAATTTCCACTTTTTGTAGGACTCTGGATTTAATCTCCTTGTTAATTTTTTTGGGGCACACAAAAGGCATTATACAGTGTACAGTGGTTGGGAGGTGCCCCTGGCTTACACGAGACAGAGCCTGCTGCAGGCAAGGATGGTAGGAAGCACCTTCCGCCGTGGCAGCTTCCCCCAAGAAGAACAGGCGCCAACTTTGCCGGGGGATGCCCCAGTCCTGCCTTTGCCCGTCCCTGCTCCACTCCATGCCCACCTCTTTCCACCTCCTCTCCAGAGCACACCGTGTCCTTGCCCCCCCTCCCAGAAAGTCCTAAGCACTGCCAAACAGCTGTTTGGTGGCAGGGGAAGCACTGGGAGGGAGGGGGCGATGGGGGCGAAGAGGAACTTGTGCAATGCTCTCTTGTAAAGTCACTGCTTTTCCACAGTATCTTACAAGCAGTGGACAGAGCAGGCAGCCAAACAACGTTATAAGAGAATTACACAACTTTAAATGAACATGTTCCCTAATGGACCAGCAACATAACTTCAAAACAACATTAAGCAGGAGGATGTTGAGTTACTGTACTTCCTATCTTTCCTACGCAGGGGGATATTTTGCTCTTGTGCCCTTAATAATGTCTCTGAAAAACTGCTGTCTTCAATTGTTTTTCCCCTTAGACTTGCTTCCCATGGGATCTTACCTACCAACTCTCTGAGTTTGCTAAAGTCTGCCTTGAAATCCATTGTCTTTATTTTGCTGTTCTCCCTCCTACCCTTCCTTAGAATCATTAACTCTATCACTTCATAATCACTTTCACCCAAGCTGCCTTCCACTTTCAAATTCTCAACCACTTTCTCCCTATTTGTCAAAATCACATCTAGACATGGTAGATCAACACTGTTCAGACATTTAACTCACCCCTAGAGGGTGAAAAGTAAAAGCAATCTGCCAGGTATTACTCAGTACACTAGGCCTTTGTTTTTTTAACTATAGTCACAATTTTTGAGGCCAGTTATAAGTCCCCTACCCCTTTACCCATACATATTTGGGAGTAATCAAAATATACAGTCTCCTTAATGTGTGAAGTTATTTAAAAGGAATGCTAATAGTATCTAATGTGTGTGATTGGTCCTTAATCGCCAAGTTTGATGCACTAAACCACTCACTGCATTTCAGAATACATATACAATCAGTTTATTAGTGCCAAATTTCCTTACAGGCATAGGAGGAGTTTAGCCCATTTGCAATTTTTGTATTCATAATGCTGAAATAGCTGAAGATTTGTATTATGAAAGCCAAATCTAACAGATACTAAGAATGCCACAGTACAGATACTGACATTTTAGAATATAAACAGGAGTGATGAGAGATCATTTACTGAGATGCACAAAAGCATATGCTTAACAATACAAACTATTCTTTGAATATGTCCTTCAAAAATTGACAATGTTACAGCTAAAACTCATTATAAAAAGATTATCCAGGAACAAAGGGTTTCAGTTGTTTCCCTCTGTGATGTCCAATACCAAGCAGGATACAGAGGTGGGTTGTGATATTGCTGAGAACACACTGACGGATGAGATGTTATCTTCTTGGCCCCAAATTACACATTTTAGAAACTACAGCTAAGCTTGGTTACCTAGAGCAATTCTATAAAGAACTACCATTATTGAAGGCTGAAGGAAGTCAGCTATATGGCCATTCTTCACTAATAGATGTGACAACTTTCAAGGGCTCTTGGTTTATAAACTTGGCACTCTGATTTGTTTTTCTGCTCTTAAACTGTTGCTAATATCACACCTAAGGGCAGCTGCTCTCCTAACTTTTGCACAACTTGTTAATGCACATTTTTCACAACTCAGAGTTCTGTCTACATTTCAGCTGACAAATTCAAATGTTTGAAACAGATCAGCTAAAAAACTGCTTATTTCGATGAGTTTTAACTTTAGCTAGATCTTCTGCAACTACTTGTACCATTCGTTCTGTAGTTTCCTTCAAAGTGGTTGCAGTCTGTATTGCATGATCCAAAGTAGAGTTTAAAATCTGGTGGAAATAAAACATAGTCAAATTGTTGGATAGTTAATATCTACTTTCTCTGATAATACATATGCTTTAAAGGTAAATGTTCCCAAACACAAAAAACAGAAGGGGAAGGAATGTTCAACCTGGGATCTAAGTAACATTTTCAACAATTCTACCCTATAGTATTTTGAAAAGTGCTGCAGGTAGGGTTTTAGATTTTTGGTTGTTTATTTGGCAGGGCAGGTCCTTGTATTCGTCTGTGTGCAGCCTATTCAATAGCCACATATAAAGCTGTGTACCCAAGAAAGCTACGTGGAGTTGGGGAGGAGGATGTGTACTGGAGGGTTCCAGGCCTGCTAGATGTCATCCTCTTCCACAACTACAAAGAAACTCTCTTTTAGCATAGAGAAGGGTGGCCCTCAGCCATTAATCGAAATAAGGGGGAGAAACAGAAAGGGCTAATGTAGCCTGCTGATTCAATGGGTGCACTATACTAAACTGAGGGGGCACAAACCACCCACAGCATCACCCTCTGTCCCAGTACCACCACGCTAACCCTGGCCCAGTCTCCAGGGGGGGGTGGGAGGTAACTAGAGAGCAAGCTTGCCCCACAGCAACAGCTCCTGGCCTGCAGGGCCAGACCTGAGTGGTGCTGCGACCCCATGTGCCATGTTGCAACACCCAGAGCAGGGAGCTGGGCAGAGTCCCACGCAACAGAAATTGCCACTATGGAATGAGCTTGCTTTATAACCCACCACCATGCCTCCCCTCTGCATCGGACTTGGAGAAGTGTATGTTTGGTTGTATGATTTCTGTGTCTGCAAATGCACTCATGAATCCACACTAAAGCCACCTGAAGTAATGCACACAATGTAAATTGTAGTAAACATTAAACATTTGAGAATGAATCTATTTCCTGCTTTGGTTAAAAAAGTATTGTACGATACACCCGCAAATAAGACATTGAGAGTATCTAAAATAATACTTTAGATAGTCCTGCAGTACAAAGGTTAGAAAAGTATATCCTCAAATGACATTTTTAAAGTCTGAAACATCAATTATATTTTGCCAATAAATCTTGATTAAATAAATTCCTCAACTGAACCATAATGAAACTGGTTGTCCATGAGTGGGGACCTTTCTCTCCTCTGACAGGAACTGGAAGAAAAGGATTGGGGAGCTGTGGGCTATTTTGGAAGGAATAGGGACCTAGTTAAGCATCTGACAGTAAGAGAGTTCTTTGAGGAACAGGAAAAAGAAGCAACAACCTGAGGGCTTGTGGGTATCTGGCTCAAGAAGAGAGCCAGATGACAGCCTGACAGTGAGAGCAAGCTGGAGGCAGCAGCTTGGGACTTGACTGCGAAGGGCTGGGTGAAAAGCTGAGTAGGAACACAAGCTGTTGATAACAGGGAGCCAGCAGTACCCTGTAGTTAAGAAGCGTGATGCAACTGCATGTACAGACAATGGACAGGACAAGAGAGGTCCTGAATGAGATCAGACAACAACATGACTGAATTCTGGCACCAGGAAAGGGGTGGACTGGAAGGACTAGAACTGAGAAGCCCTTCAGGTTACTCTGATGCTGGAGTCCTGTGTTGGACTGCCTCAGGGCCTGAGTTAGCTAATACTTTATATTTTTTTAAACTGTTTAAGCCATCGCACCCAGAGGATTTCCACACTTCCATAGTGCTAGCCCTAACGTATCCTTTTCCCACTGCATGAGTGTGGCATTTAAGAGACAGCTAGGGCTACAGTCTGGTGCATGAAGTGCCTGGAGTGTGACTGCTTCTTAGCTTGTGGTATGTAAAGCATAACAGTCCCAGCTTTAGCCCCTTTACTCTGTGTAAAAGAACCCCTAAAATCCCTGTATCCGCCCAAGGGAGGATTCGATTCCCCCAGTGCAGGCGCTGCAGGCAACAGCTGTAAGACTGCTTTCAAAGGATCCTCTCCCAAGTCCTGGTGTAAGGGGCATACTGGGGGAGGGAGAAGTGTGTTGAGGGAGAAGCTCTGTATGTAGCACTGTGGAGATTCTGGGCATTACAGGGAGACTGCTCTGGTTTAGACAGGCCTCCAGGGCTGTCTAAATTACAGTGTAGGCGACAAAGCAGCCCCAGATCAGGAAAGTGTAAAAGTGGCTTAACGCCACCTTCGCCTCCTGTCTACCTAAGCTGCAAGTTCTGTGCTGTGTATTTTAGCGGCATAGCACAGAATCTCATTCCAGATCTCTGAGTGACTGATGTATTTCAACTCCCTCAATGGCAACCTGTAGCTGGGTCAGTGACAATACTTATGCCTTGTGATGAAGTTTATTTAGGGATATATTTGTTTTATTGGAGTAAATGGAACCTACTGTTACTGAAGCAAAAAAAAAGTTAAGAATAAGCCAGTTTCAACATGACACGTTAATAAATAACACACACTCATATTTAAAAGCCAACAAGACACCTTTAGCACCTCACAAGGCACTGACTGCAAGACAAGTTGGATTATAATCATTAGCATCTATGGGTGAGATTTCAAAAGTGCTACTGAAAGTCAGTGGGACTTGTTGCTCCCGAGTCACTTAGACATTTTTTAAAATCACATTCTAAATTCTTACCTTTGTGTCAGTATAACTGGTGTGTCTGTTTCTAATATTGACCATTGATTTACTTCCATAAACCTTCCTGCTGGCTAGGTATTGAGGTGAAAGAATAATTGTATCATACATCCTTGAGTAGCAGGTTTTGGGAGTCTCTAAGTTGTCTCTAGAAGGTAATACATAAAATATTCACAAAAACATTTTATAGTTAAAAACAAAATGTGTTTAAACAATGTGTGTGCAATGTCTATGACTTTTTAGCATCCTTGCATAATAATTTCAGTAGAGTTCTTCATTTGTTTAATCATAAAATACAACTGCATAGTTAGTGTTACATTTATAACATACATCTTATAGTCACAGACAAACAAACCTTCAGGGAATCTGGCATCATCAAATTATCCTCATTAGAATGTGTAGCACTGCCTGCTCTGGAAGCAGGAGAGAAGCCCAAAAAGCTTTTCATTTATTTAATTTCTTTGCCAACATTCCCTACCTCCGCACACATTGTCAACACTATAATTAAGAACCTGTCCTACTTCATATACTCCAGATATAATTTAATATTAGTAACAAGTAAAAATAGGAAAAGACATTTCTGAGATGGATAAATAGTACTGCAGTATCATTATTCCTATACACAACGTCACTGCCAGGACTGTTATCTGGAATGATAATGACACATTTAGTTAATGAAAAGAGACCTCTTGACTGGATCCTATACTAAAAGAATTAGCTAAATTTCTAGTTCTTCCATGTAATCGAAAAGTTTCAGAAAAAAATCTAGTTAAATCTGTTCAAAATTGCATTTACATTATATATTTTACTTTCATTAGTGACTACTATTCTAATATATAGTACATATTGCATACGTATGGAGTTGTGCCACTTATGACATTAGTGAATTTGGCCCACACTATATCTTCAATAGGCACATCTTCTGTGATACTAATTTATATAAAGCTACTGGTAACACTTACTTGTCAGAAAGTCTGTATACAAATTGATCTGGTTGCTTACTTGTACAAACACTATTGGCGGCAATTCTTTTCTTCTGTGAAGAAGCTGAAATTTTGGAGGCCACAATTAAACAAAATATAACAAATATACAGAAAACTATACTTTCTTATATTTAGCACAAATGACAGAATGGGCTGTTTTTTTAAAAGTGTGTGTGCTCAGTTACCATGGCCAACGCAGTAATGGAACAGACAAATTAGGCATGGAATTACGTGCACACAACGTTAAAAGATCAGAGCCAGTTGTCTGTTTTTAGGTATGTTACCAGAGAGCATCATACAGTCTTGACGCTGTACCTCTTTCGCCCCTATGTATTACAGTTAAATACTAATTGTTCATCAACACAAAATGGATTTTAACAGTTTACTATTCCACAGCCTTGGCTCTTAGGATCCTTGTGTGACCTGACATTTTCTAACTCCACAGCTCCAGTCAATGGAATCCCTGCAAAAATATCTCCACTGGAAAGGCCCACTCTAGTTCTAATTTTCATTAGAATACCAACAAAAATATCCAAAAGATTTATTTCTTTACTAAATCAATTTAACAATTAAACCCAACATTCTTTAAACATGCACTGTGTTGCCAACTTGAATGATTTTATCATGTCTTTATCATGACTGCTGTTTGTCTTAAAGCCCCAGTTGCAGAAGTTTTTTTAATACTTGAGAATCTCAGATTTAATTTAAAAAATTATCTTTCTAGCCCTTATAATTGTGGAGAAAAGAATGAAATTGTGACCTAAGTGCACCCAAAATGCTTCAAAATGAGAAGACAAAAGAATTAAAAATTGTATCATTTTTTTAAATCTCAAGCTTTTTGTGGGGGGGCCTGACTCATAATTTTTAAATATTTGAGGCTGGAAATACTGCATGCAAATGCATCAACAATCTCTAGGAATAAGTCCTGTACTGCATGATTGCTCAAAAAAACTGATATGAGAAGGATAATAAATCCTGAAAAGGCAAAAAACAAAGGAGGAGGAGGAATGCAGTAAAAAGATGAAATGAAATTGAAGTAATTGGCAGAGAAAGAAGGGGTAAAGATGAAATATCTTGATCTGCCTCTTGTCTTTTTTCCTTGCCTCCTCTCCCCCTGTACCCAACATATTTCATTCATCTCTTCTACCTTTTATTATGTGTGCTATGTATAAGCTGTGGAAGTCAAGCTACTTTCTTTAACAGCTCCCCCTCCCCCATGTTCTGAACAGACATTTAAGAGGTCCCCTAAATATCAAACAGGAAAATGGAAAGGAGCACCCATATTTTAGCTATAAATAAGTTAATAATGTTCTGAGGTACCCAGTAACTGGAAGTCAAGTTAGAAAGGGAAAACAGTCCAGATTGTTCCTGGTGATCACTGTGCCATTCTTTTCCAATGTACTACGCAATTCCAAAGTGCATTTCATTGGTGCTCTATGTACATAGTTTGTGAAGCACTTTGGAACCCTGCATTAAGGATAAAAAATAGCCTAACTCTAGATGCATTTCTCAGACTCCCTGAGTACGTTTGCTTCTCATATCATCATTCCAGCAGTGTTTCAAAATGGTGGGGTCTCTTCTTTGCCCTTCCCTCTTTAGCCAAATCCATTTCTTGATCAGATCAGACTTCAGTTTGTTATTGTACATTTCATTATACTATCTATAAACGTGTCTTTAAAAAGTTTGCACATGATCTATAAAGCATAACTGCCGGGCAAAATCTTTTAAACATAATTAAGACCAATAGTCTGGAATCATTTACCAATATTATTCTTGTCAGATTCCCTGCTGCATTTGTTTCTTTGACAACTAGTGCAGAAATTTATATTCCAATCCCTGTATTGTAAGGCTGTTGAGAAAGCATACTGTAATGACAACTTAGCATTATCATAATAAATACATTAATATGATGTAGCACTTACATAACACTTTACATTTCCAAACAACATGTAGAAACATTAGCTAATTTATCAAAAAGAACAAAGAGTACTTGTGGCACCTTAGAGACTAACAAATTTATTTAAGCATAAGCTTTCATGAGCTAAAACCCACTTCATCGGATGCATGCAGTAGAAAATACAGTAGGAATATATATACATATGTAAGCAGAGTCAGGATGAGCTCTACCCTGACATCTGGTGGTGAATTATGTAACAG